TAGCTTCGCAAAGCCTTGGTGGATCGTTTATTCTTTTCCGGGAAAATCTGTCGTCCATACCGGCCAAGCGAGTAAGCATCGGAGACCGCACTACCAATATCACGAAATACGGGAGGAAAAGTCCGTCCCGCACTTGTTTGTGTACACAAAGGCCCAGGAGTCACCGGGTATCAGCGGGAATCAATGAGAATCACGACGGAAACCAACGGATATCAATGGGAATCACGACGGGAATCGACGGGAATCGACGGGAATCATGGATTCCAGGAATCATACTTGAATTCGGAGTTATTGCCCCCTCGGACTCGAGCATAAAGACAGCAGACGCATCGAGCAGGAAAAACTGATATGATGGCACAGATGCCAGATGCAGGAAAACGGCGTGCACAAACGTCTGCCTAGAAGCATTCTACATTATCTGACAGACCCGAGCCCTCCGAACCCGTGCGCACAGTATTTACCAAATGCATTAAAATCCCCTGGCGCGAAACATTTCAGCCTGTTATCGAAAGGTCGAGGGAAAAAAACCTACCTTTGACCAGGCCGGGCTCACCCGCGCGTTAAGTTAAAGCAGATATATACCTCGCCCCCTTTCTGCACAAACACGACACTCTTCTTTTTATCTTCCCCCGAACGCTCGGCCCGGTTCGCAGTCGTCAAACACATTGACTGATCCGCCGGGGCCGATGATTCGCAAACATTTGACGAGCCAGCTAATAAAGCAGCGCATTAAAACCAAAACGACCCCACATAAATCCGTCACAGCTATGTGTGGGAGTGAGAGCGTAAGGGCGAGGGGGAAAAAGGATGGTGGGAGAGAAAGGGGCAGCAGAGCTAGAGCAAGGGAGAAAGAGGAGAGTTGCACCCACAGTCCACACTGCTATCGGCCATCGACCAGCAGCAGCAGCAGCAGCAGCGGGGGCCTCCTGCCCAGCGCAGACAAGCGGATTAAACCCCCCGGCCCGGCAAACGCATTCAAAAAGAGCTGCTGGTGCCGCTAGTGAACATTGAAAACGACCTTTCACTCGTGCGTGCTATGTCAATTCAAATTGTCTACTTTAAATAAAGCGTGCATGCCATGTATAATTTAATTAATTTATACATGTCCATGTACGCATTTATAAATGCGTACATGCTTCTGCGTACATGGGCATAATACTGCATTTAGTATACTGCAATGTACGCATTAGTTTAAGTATACAATGTACACTTCTGAATTGACATAGTGCTGCCCCAGAGTTGGTTTTCCTCCCACATATTTTTTTTTTCGGCTAACTGGCTCAGCGCCTGTGAGATCCAGAGTAGGCTAGCCCGCAACACAGGCATACGCTGCATGCGGTATGTTGCCTGCCTATTACGCGCTCAGAGCGCTCGCAGTGGCTGCACCACTGCACGTGGCAGGGAATAACGGACGCACTATCGAGGATTACCTTAGCGCGCGGTAGCGTGCAACAGGGGGCGGCAACCCCGGGGGAAAGGGGGCGTGGAACGAGCCTCTCCCATACCGAATTTCGCAGCTTGGAATCTCATCAAATTTTAGGAGGAAACCCGCTGCCCCCTTAAATCGCACTTCCGATCAAGAGTGCACACCTCAGGGGGCCCGAGTTGCCACTCGTCACCGGCGAACGAATTCTCTCCCATCACACCCCCTCGATACAGCGCGCGTGCTCCGCCAGCGCACTCCGAGAGCGCTTTGCCACTGACGCGCCAGGGCCGCATGCTCCCCAGCCCAGCGGCGGTTCCCTCTGATGCGGGATTGCGGAACGAGGGGGGAATGGCGAGTGAGTAGTACGCTCCGTTGCTTGGGCCGCTGAAATCAAATGCTCTGAGCGCCGGACAAGCTCTCTCTCTCTCTGCTACGTCGCCTGAGCGGCAATAACCCACCTCACCCTTAACGAGGAGCAAATGACGCCGCTGCAACACAGTGACCCCGACACCGAATTTATTGATTTACTCGTTTCCGTTTTACGACCGACCGTGGTGAAAAACAATTCCTATGATCCCGTGTATAAAGCTGACAGGGCCTAGCCTAGCAGAGTCCGGACGCGGGTAGTATATTTGCAAACGGAATCACCAGCAATGATATGCGTGCGCCTGCAGTTGACAGAGCGAGGGAGGAAAGGGAGGGGGGAGCAAACAGAGGGCGAATACCTAAAATAATAAAAGTGGGGCCGAAGTGGATCCAAAACGACGGCAGTCCGCGGAGACGGAATGCAATGTGTTAGTGTCTCTAGCAGAAACAAACGCAAGTAAGTGGGGTTCGGTGGACGGGCTGGGGGGAGGGGGGAGATAGGCTCAGAACTTTTTCGTTCCATGAGCTTCCATTATGAATTTTTTTTCCGGATACTGATTCCACTTCTGAGCGCGACACTACAGGAATCTCACAAACTCCTCGGCCGAAGTAGGGAGAGGTTCCCATCTCCCCACCCCCACCCCCTTTCCCCCGGAACCAGCCACTTCGTCCGAAACAAACATTGCCGTCGCCGCGCAACAGAGAAAAACAAGCAATGAAAGATTTCTTTAGAAATGAGTTCCGCCACAGAGTGTTTCCTCTTTGCGTTGTCTTCCATTGCGTTCAGAGCGGCGGGAGATAGAGATAAAATTGAGGTAGGAGAGAAATATTGGTCGTTGCGCCCGGGGGGAGAAATGACGCCGACAAGGTGTCACCTACTGATATGTGTGGGGGGAGAGCGAAAGTCCCTCGCCTTTCCCCTCCCTCCCCTTCTCCAGAGCTACAAAGTGTTACACTGGCACCACTATCGCCTCGCTCCGGCGTGGCTCCGGGCATGTCGCACCCCCCGCGTGTAATAAGGAAAAGTTGAAAGAGAGCGAGGGAGACAGAAAGAGGGTGTTGAGAGAGAGAGAGAGAGAGAGAGAGAGAGAGAGAGAGAGAGAGAGAGAGAGAGGGGAGAGACGGGACAGCGTGAGGAGCAGGGGTTGGAGCGCTCACCCAAATAAGGAGCGATATTATCGAATAAAAGGAGGAGCAGCGGGGTAGTGGGACGCCAGACTCCAGCAGAGGCCCCCCGCCTGCCTGTCCGGGCCGCTCCAGCCGCCGCTCCAGAGCAGAGCCGGGGTGGTGCGTGGCGCGTCACGAGCCGAGAGCCCCGCAGCACACGTCAGGGCTCGCGCGCGGTAATTGATAAGAGGGGCGAATTTATGAGGACGAGGTTTCACTCTATTTCACACACTCTTGTCTTGTTGTGAAAGTCTATTCTCTGGCGCAGTATTTGACGGTTGCGGTGGTTACAGTGGTTCACTAATTAAGTGATGTAGAGATGGGTATGGTTACGAGGAGGTTTCACTCTATTTCATATACTCTCGCCCGCGCTGCGGGAAAACCGCCCCGCGTCGTCGAAAATAAAAGAACAAAAAAAATATATTTGCGCAGCAGACGCTGCTTTGGGATCACAGCGATGGGAATGATGACCATTTCACCCAGCAGCAGTATTTAGCAGCACGGTCAAATCGCTCTGAAAATAGAGGCGGGCGAGTGAAAAGAGGAAGACATGGGGACGAACAGAAAGATAGAAGAGAGAGAGAGAAAGAGGGAGACAAAAAAAAATTAAAGCGGAACAACGGAGCATTTAAAGGGCCGCCAGCAGCAAAATGGTATAGCGAGGGAGATATCGCGGCCCAATATCCCTGGTCTTTGTCTCCGTCCTATCTGTGCTGCCCCCCCTACCCCGTCCAGCCCCGCGCGCCCCGCCGCTCCACGCCCAACTAACAGTCCAACAATTCATCTTTTAATTTCTGTCATCCCTCCCAAGGCTCCGGGTGTAATCAAGTTATCGGGGGGGCCTCTGGCGCCGCGCTATGGCGCCGCCGCACAGCGCTAGCGGCTGCTGAATCATCGACAGTCCAGACACAAAAAACTTTTGCACCATTTTCAATCCATTCCCGCTCTCCTCTGTCCCGCGCGCCGCCAACGCCAACCCTATACCGTAACAAGTAGATGGTGTAGTCAGCTGTTGCTCGACGGTGCCGAGCGAAAGTTATCCAATCTCGGCCGGTGGTGGTTGTGTGAGCAAACGGCAGAGCAAGCAAAGCGCGGCGTCGGCGTGAAGAAGGCGGACTACTCCTGGATGAGGGGGAGGGGGGGGGCGTCGCCACCACGGCGTGTGGTGGTGGTGAAAGGCATTCCCGACAGTTCAGCTAAATAGTCAAGACTGCAGTGCGCAGAAGGAGCGTTTTGTTGAAGTAGCTCTGTAGTTGTTCGGGGAGTCGTGTATGTCAAGTCAAGAACACCAAATCATGTCATATTTACAAGTGCACTGCCAAGTGCTTGCAAATTTATCTAAGAAGAACACTACAGATTTGCAAAATCTGTCAAAACTAGTACATTGGTTTCTTTTCTTTATTATTGAATGGTGTTCCCTCCGAGTATTAATAAACATCCGACCGCTTTGAAACTTCTCCAAAAACCCTTGAAAGTTATTTACGCACACCCCCTTGTTTTTGTTGAGGCCAGCGCGCACACCCCCACACAGAGTACACCAAAAGACGCTGCCCTCGCAGAGCTCTCGGCCCGGCTGCGTATAAACATTCCCTGCGCGATTCAGCGCCGTATGGCGGATTCAGCGGTACGCGCGGCGCGCGACGCACGCCCGCTTGGCGCCGCCGCCGCGCGCTTCGCACTCGCACTCGCACTTAGCGCACTACGTACTACGTGATTTCAAAGTACGCGTCTCGCGTCAAGCCTTAATTTGGATTCCTTAAAGCGAAATTAGGTGTATGATGGTTGCATACTGGTCTGCGAATGAACTCGCTCTCCTGTGATATTAGCGCACAACACGCCTGGCTTTGCTCAACGTACGTTTATACTCAACGTACGTTAAGGTGAGAAAGGAAACAGGGTTAAGAAAAAGCAACGGCTTTGAGTCAGAAAGTAAGTTATTCTTACACACATTTTGCAATAAAATACCAAAATTTTATAACTAACTAATAACATGTTTCTTACAGTAATAAGAAAATTTTAGTTGCTAAAATACATAGTTGCTAAAATACATCTCAATATAAATAAACTATGATAAAAATTTCAAACTGAAATTGTAAAATAAACATATTTACATCTATTACTTCATTTTTTTTTGGTGAGACTTGATGTGAGTTTTGTTTGCATTTACACTTGCTGAAAGTTTGCGAGGTAGTGCTTCTTTGCCACTAGCCTTACGAGCAATTGATTCTTTTTTGTAAGGCCTACCAGCTCTTATTCTCTTTGCTCCCCTAGTTTTTCCCTCCTTTCTTCTTTGAATCGCTGTGGGCTGCACTCCCATATTTGACCTTCTTCTTGCCAGTGATAGTGATGCTGCCTTCCAGCGCAAGAAGGTTTCAATGGCTTGTTCTGGTGTTGTTGGTCGACTCAACCGCTGCACCATGGACTTCAAAGCTCTTCGGTATGTGTCTTTACTCGGTCCCTCCCTCGCAATCTTTTGCAAGTTATCTTGTATGTCTCTAAACTTCTTCTCTAAAAGTTCTATCTCATTGTCTACCTCTGTGTCCATTTCATCAACCTAAGCAAAACAAATTAATGTCAGTTGTGTTTTTAATTTAAGTTTCAGTTTTGTTATAGCACCTTCATAATTTACCTTAACTTGGGTCAAATTGTCAGCAGATCCATTGGAGTCGTTTGTTACCTCACTAACTGGTAACAGCTCATTGTTTTCATTCAAAACATAAGTTCCCATCATCGAGTCCAGTGAATTGTAAATATAGAGCTCCTGATATAAGGGAAGGAAAAAACACAGGGGCCATAAAAATAGATAGATAAATAGCTATATTACTTAATAAAATGATATTTATCTTACTTCCTCAGCGTTAATCTTCTCATCAAAGTCCAAGAAGAATCGGAGAGGAGGGCATTTTTCTTCTCCCAAAGCAAGCAAGGCCAATTTGTAGCGCTCTATGTATGTAATTGCAGGTTTGTTTGGGAAGCCACATTGAAATTTGGAGTAGACAAGTGCCTGGTGTTTGCAGAATGCGCCACATTTTCCAACCGGGCAACTGCACCAACCAACTAATGAATTCACTTCATAGGCCAGCTCTCCAGTCTTTTCACTTGGTACCTCATACAAGTCTCTGTCTTTTACTTTGATTTTCTCTGCCATTTCTATAAGAGTGAAAGATTCCAACGCCATCTGAGCTTGTCTTTCCATATTGAAACTACATTAACTTCAAATCAATTAAACATATAGTACAATACCTGGTTGCATTTTTTGGCACAGTCGATTGTACTGGTACCTGGGCTTATTCTCTCTATCATAGGCATAGTGCATCAAATTTTTTGTGAGGTGCTTATTCCAAACACGACAAATAAAATCCACCAAGGCACAGCAGTTATAGGCCTTTGTGCGACCAAGCACTATATCTTTTATAACTCGAATAGAAGCCTCAGCAAAATTGTCTGTGTTATGCCCCCTATTTAATGTTTGTGACCGAAAAATTTTCGCCCACTCTTTTTCTCTTTGAAGAAAACCATCAACTCTCTTCCTATACTTCTCATGAGAGCATGACTCTTTGAATGTATCCTTTGCTTCCTCATATTCATCAGCATGTACTGCATACATTATCTGACATTTAAAAAAAAAAGAAGTAAATTAGAGGTATCTGCTATTTTTTTTCAAAAATACTCTGGTATTTACTCACACTTTGAAATAACCGTAGCAGACTCTGCCTCTCATCTTGATGAACGCCCCCTTTTGAGTCTCACAGTCATCTCCATTCCGCTTGGCCAACATGGAAGTGACATAGATATTGCAAAGCATCTGGCCAGATTGCTTGCAATGCACTTTTCTCCATGTTGCTGTCGTCTGTCATGAAAACTTCAGGGTTCTAAAAAAATAAAGAGGTAAGCAGTGAGTTGTTTTTTTTTTACATAATAAGAAAAATAAATGAGTTTGTGCATAATCATACCTTTTTATTTCCAAAGCAGTTTGGGTACTTTGAAGCAAGCATACCATACGCTTGGATGTAACCTTCAGTATCTCCTCTATTGTGAATTAATGCACACAAAGGCACTGCTCCCCCTTTTGTCGCAGTCAATACCAATGTGAGGATGCTTTGTTGGGCATCAACACTTCCCGTAGAATCAGTGAAAATAATTTCACTTGCCTCTGGGAGTGACTGGGCACGCTTCATTAATGGAGTAACAATTAGGATGCACCACCTGGATTTATCAACATTGTCAATGTGCACTTCGACACCTGTAATAGAATAAAACACTCAAGATAAGTAAAAGTAATTGTTTGAAAAGTATTTGATGTTTGTACGCATGTTGTATTCACTATTATTTTTATTACCTTCAGCATCGTAAGTCTCCACTTTTTCTTTAAGTTTATCGAGTGGTTCTGTGGATGACCATGCAATACCAAAAGTAGAAAGAAGCCAGCGTCTGTGCAAGTATTGAACAGTTCTTAGAGGAGGATTTAGAGCACCATTGCTCAAGTTTTTTTCCCCATCATCCTCCAACATAATCTTGTCTTCATGAATCTGGCGTGCGTCTGCAGCTCCATGACCATTGTTAAAGTAATCCAAATACTGTTCCTCAACATCAGGGTGAATTCTCAGATAACCCATGGAGCGGAAGTTATCAATTTGGTGATTATGTATTCCTGTGATACAGATTTTAGCTGGCAGTGGTACATCTCTCTTCAAAAACGGGTCATTTTTCTTGGTATTTTTAGTTACTTTTTTAATTAACACGTCAATAACAACAGGACATTTCCTATTTCTTTTGCTGTCTTCTTTTTTGTTTCTATCACTAAGTTGACAAGCCCATTTCCGATGAAAAATGTACCTTGAGAAAAATAAAAATAAAAGTCATTTATGCTATTTTAGCGCCCCTTATTGCTTTCGCTCTCCCATGAATGCTCATGCATATCGTGTCAACTTGTCACTTCCCTTCTGACAGTAATGTTGTATAATTTCTATCAAAACCTTACCTGACTGGAGTTGTAGCCATTTTATCTTTAATTATGTAGTCAGTGTTTGTGGTATCTTTGAATGCTCTGAGCCACTTTTCAACATCATCTTCGCATTTAAAATCACTCCGTACAACTAACTCGTCTTCATTCTTAATTTCAAATTCACAACAATAACCATCTTTAGAAAGGGACTCAAGAACATCCTGACTATCCATTGCTTTCGTCAGATTCACACACACTCGACATGCGACAGGTAGCAGGTGGCGATTTTAGAGGGAATGAGCTCTCAGCTGATGCGCGTGTGTTCGGTGGGAAGGGAAGGGGGAGGGGCGTCGAATAGGGAAGCAAAGTGTTGTGTAAAAGGCGTCTGCTGAGAAACGTTTTGGCGCGCTAATGTGACAGGAGAGCGAGTACATTCGCAGACCAGAATGGAACTATTACTATGTAACTATTGCGCTTTTAAGAATCCGCATTATGGCTTGACGATTGTCACAGACTTTAAAATCGCGTACTACGCGTGAGCGCGAAGTGATCTGCCGCCCTTGTGGCCAAGCGGCGCGTGCCGGCCGCTGCCGGCGGCAGCGCGCGCCGCGTACCGCTGAATCCGCCATACGGCGCTGAATCGCGCAGGGAATGTTTATACGCGGCCCGGCTCTCGCAGGGACCAGCAGAGGGCTTGGTAGTGCCGGGTCGTGCGGCGCCATCACGATTTCATTCCCCGCGCACACTCACAAATTGATAGAGAAAAGGCAGCGGCAAGCGTTGATTCGACTCTCTTTCTCTTTCTTTCTCTCTCTCTCTCTCTCTCCAGAGTGTGTATATGCGCGCGCCGCCACCGCCCCATCCCCTGGACAACAAGTACGAAAGTAAGCTGTTTCAGAGGCACGCTCTGCTGTCGGCGATACAATCTCGAATGCCTGGGCGCGGCGGAGGCGGGAGTGAGCGAGAGAGAGGGAGGGGGGGGTGCAAGAGGCGATCCACAGCTACCTCCTCAGCGCCACGATATCATTGGGGGCCGCTCTGTTCAAACAGGACACGGCGTAGGCGGGGGGATGCCCCCCCCCCTTACTTTTCCCCTGCTACGCAAGGATTGTCAGTCCATAGTCGGCAGGGGGAAGGAAACCAAAACACCAAGGAATTTACAGCGAGGTTGTGAGAGAAACAAGGAAAGAGAAAGGAGAGGGAAAGAGAGAGGGAGACGGGAAGAGCGAATCAGAGAACGGGTAAGTTACCTGAGTCGACACCGGTCGACACCCTTCTAGCTCGTCTCGTACAGAACAGGTGAGTAGCGGGTGAAAGAATCACGTATCCACCTACTGGATGACGCGCGCTACATCTCTTTGTTTCATTATTTTACTTTTTTGTTTTAATTTGGCAAACGAAAGAGAGCATCCTCCGCCTCTTCGCTAATGCGCCACCCCCCACCCCCACCCCCGCGCACACGAAGGTGTTTCCCCGCAGCAGCAGCAGCCCCATTGTAACATTTGCATCACAGCGCTTCACTTTCACGGCGCATTTTTTACCACCCCTCTGCCTCCTAACCGCCGCCCCGCCATTCCGCCTTTTCCCTGTCGCCGCCCGGACGCCCCCCACGATGCCCCCTCCCCCCCTTTTTTATTTCCCTCTCCGAAGCTATCCCGCCGCCGCTTCTTGTGTTAACCCTTCCGCGTTCCCTTTTGCCCTTTTCGACGACGCCAAAACTTTGCATACGTTTTGGCCGCGCCGCGAGGATAAATTCCCTCACTAAATATTTCCAAGGGTGTTGCGAGTGGATGAAAGTCCGGCCAACTCGGCCGCAACCGACGCCAAGTTGTTCCACCCTCGAGTGCGCACACGGAGGCGGAGGGGGAGCACGGTATGAAAGAGAAGGAGGGAAGGGAGGGGAGGCAAAAGACGAGAGTATGCGTCCGCCCGCCCGCCCACCCGCCGCGCTGCTTGTTGTTCAGAAACCCGTTTCCGCAGAGATTGTTTTCCTTTATGATGGCCAACTCCGACAGATATTGATTGAGACGCTCTCCCCCCAAGAGATGAATGAAGCTCACTTCCCTCGTCAAGCCAAACACCCTCCTGCTCCTTTCGCTCCACTCGGGCGGGCGCATTGAGCGGCGCCGGTGACCCGGGCGCGCGGGCGGAGGCCGTCCAATCCTTCCTTTCTGCTCCCAATCTCGTTGATCGGCCATCGCTTTTCACTTGCTAGTCACGGCCCTCTGCTCGCTCCCACTCCCGGAGGTACCCCCAGTGGCTCTTGGCTGCTACTGTTGTTGTTCCCAGAGCCGGTGAAGCGGAGATGCGCCAGACACATGCGAGCCGCTGAACCACTGCGGCATGCCATGCCGCTGCTCCAGAACATGACGGCGGCAGCTCATCTGATATACACGAACGCTCGCGCGCCAGGCCTCTGGCACGGGATGACGCACTAATTCGCGTCGGTACTTCATCTGTCACCACAGGGCAAGGGCATGTCAGCAAGCGCCCGCAGAGTGGGACTGCCGCACGCAAAACCGCGCAAAACACGTAGAGCACGCACACATGGTCTGCGTCTTACCACACTCGCACCACTTGCTTTGCGGTTTGCTTTGAAAATGTGTCATAGACGCATTCACCTTCGGACAGCTGTTGAAAACCTTTAGGTGAATTTAACGAACTGAAATTCGCGAACTGAAAGTTGCTG